GAGTTTTGAGTCCTCTTCTTCCAGTATTACGGAGTTCACCTGTGATCCTAAAAGTGATGAAACCTTCCCGGCATGGTATCTCCGCTTTGAAGACGCGTTTAGAATCGACGGCAAAATGCTGGATGATGCGGCCCGGATGCGATTATTGCTCCAGAAGAGGGCGATGGCGACGCCCATCTATAAACAATGCGTCGATTTCATCCTACTACGTCACCCCGTGATGTTTCGTTTAACGAAACGGTCCAAATTCTATAATCACTGTTTGACTCCCAACCCTCTCTCTTCAACGTCTGTTACAAGTGCCTGAAGATGAAGAAAGAGGACCGTGAAGATTTCATCTCTTACGGCGGAAGAGGAAACCGGGACTGCCAACGGTTTCAGCCGGCTTCGCTGACTGAAGACCATTTCAAATGCCTTATGTTCCTTTGCAGCCTACAGTCCCCAGAGGACGCCAGTATTCTTCTGCGGCTACTCAACAAAATTGAGGAGAACGATGTCAGTATTACCAAATTGGTAGCCAAGTGCAATCCCTTGCTTATTCTGAAACATGACACTGAAATGGTTGAATCTATTAACGCTACCGATTCTGCCACTCTAGGTCTCAACACAAATCCAGCATTACCGATGACGCGGTATCAGCCTGCACCAACAAACTGGCCCGAACGAAAACCCATAACTTCCTGCTGGTTGTTTGGAGGTATGCATTATGCGCGTAGCAAAGAACTCATGTGCTCACAATGCAACAAAACAGGCCACAAGGAGGGATTTTGTCCCAGTCGTCTTTCTTCAACAGTAGGACCCAGAAGGTCCGCGGGTGTAGAAAAATCTAAATGGCACAGAAAAACCTGTCTTAACAGAGTTGGTGTCCTTGCAACTGCCAATCTCAAACGTTTTCGCCGCTATTTGTCCATTTTCATCAAAAGCCGTCCGGTCAAACTGCTGGTTGACACTGGTTCAGACCGTACAATTACATCTTCTTCAACCTGGAAGATGATTGGTTCTCTAAGACGCTCCCAAGCTAGCAGTTTCAGCAGGCAGCTTCACCGGAAATCCAGTTGTCTTGCAAGGTAAATTCAAATGTATCTATCGTTTCAATTCGAAACCCTTGTTCGGAATGTGTTACGTGTCTAATTCTGACAGCAGTTACCTCTTCGGAGCTGAGTGGATCGAGAAATTAGGTCTCTTCGACCTACCGTTCAACAAGGTTCAGGATGAACCTGCAGCACGCAGGTCGCGCGGTCCTTCAGCTTCCTCGGTGCTTCACATGCGGAACAGTTCGTCCGCTCTCGCTTCCCTAGCGCTTGCAGCAATGAGCCTAGTTGCTGCAAGCGTTTCAAAGTGACTTTGCAGTTACATCCTGATGCCAAACCAGTTTTTCGTCCTATACATCCCGTTTCCTTTGTAGCTATCCGGACAGTAGAAGCCGAGCGTTATAGACCTGAAAATCGTGGTGTCATTTCCATAGTTAACTACTCGGCTTGGGCAGCTCCAATCGTCGCAGTCAAGAAACGTAACGGTTCCATTCTTATCTGCGCGGATTTTTCGACATGTCTCAATGCAGTACTCGAAATGCATTAGTATCCCCTTCCGCTTCTGGAGGATATTTTCTCAACGCTCAACGGTGGCACTGTTTTCTCTTACATTGACTTCTCAGACGACTACCTTAAAATTGAACTATCCGAAGAATTCAAGGAACTGGTCACCATCAGCACACACCGAGGACCTTATCGCTATAATCAGCTTCCGTTTGGAGTAAAGGCTGCACCAGGAATCTTTCAACAACTCATGGATTCCATGATTTCCGGTCTTTCTGGCTCCGTTGTCTATCTCGGCGAGGTCGTTGTCGGCAAAAACGAAGCAGAGCACCAAAAGAACCTCGAGACTCTATTTTCCAGAATTTTTGATTTCGACTTTCACCTTCGCTTTGAAAAATACCGCTTCGCCATGGCTCAAATCAGTTATCGTGGCTGTATCCTCAACCGGTACGGTCGACGTCCCTATCCTGCCAGAACCGAAGTCATCTTCAATATGCCAGAATCTACAGGCCTTCCGCCCGCTGCGGTCTTTCCTCAATTTTGTCAACTATTACAATGCCTTCATTAAAGAACTCAGCGATCTCCGTGCACCCCTCGACAATTTTCTTCGCAAGAAAGTCAAATTCGTCTAGTCCACAGTGCCAGAAGGCTTTTGTCGAAATCAAATCTGTTCTCCAATCTGACCTGCTTACACACTGCAACCCGCGTTTTCAAATTGTTGTAGCAGCGGACGCTTCTAATCATGGTATTTGAGCAGTTATTTATCGTCGCATCGCTTCCCAAACTGTACCTAGAATGCAATCTGTCGTACATCCAGATCGCTGTCCTCAGCCGAGAAGAATTACGTCAGGTTGAAAAAGAAGGCCTTGCCATGATTTTCGCCGATCACAAACCTTTGCTCTCCATTTTTGTAGCAAAAAAGTTGTTCCAGTCTACGCTGCCAATCGTCTCCAGCGTCGGTCTACTATCCTTCTGGGCTGTGACTTTGACATTCAGAACCGCAATATCTCCAGGCTCGGCTAAGCTGACGCTTTGCCTCGCCTCATCTCAGAGCAAGCCGAGAAATCGCGAGATGAAGAAGTTGTCATCGGCACATCGAAGCAGTTGAAGCAGAAGTCCTGCAATTTCTCTCGGATGCTATCCGAACGCTCCCAGTCACAGCTGACAGAATTTGACAACAGACTAAGGCTGATCCTCTTCTCCAGTAAGTCATCAAATCGCTTCAGTCGAAAATGGCCATTAATCAGCCTCGTCTCAAACAATTTTGAACCGTAAAGATTCGCTGTCACTAATTGATGGTTGTCTGATGTATGAAGAAAGAGTGGTTATTCCGGCACCGCTTCAAGCCTGCGTCCTTCGCCAGCTACACCACGAACATCCCATTGTTAGCCGAATGAAAGACTTCGCCCGTAGTCATAACTTGGCCTGGAATTGATGCCGATATTGAAATTCTAGTTCGGAATTCTCACTGTCAGTTAGCAGCCAAGTCTCCTTGCAAACTGAACTGTTATCCTGGCCTCAAGCTTACACTTCGTGGTCACGCGTTCATATTGATTACGCAGAACCTTTCGATGATGATCGTTTCTTAGTCATTGTCGATACTTTGTCCAAATGGCCTGAAGTCCTCATTAACGACAAACCGACAGACCAGCAACTGTTCGTCTCCTCAGTGAGGTCTTCGCCCATTTCGGAATGCCTGAAATTGTCGTCTCTGACGATGGCACTCAGTTCATTTCCACTGAATTCCAGATATCTAGTACATCAGATCCTCACTGTTCCATCCCCAGTCCAACGGCCAGGCAGAACGCTTCGTGGATGCATTCAAGCGCGCCATCCAAAAAAATGATGGAAATCTTGCCTTAAAGCTCTAGTCCTTTTTGCTTGTTTACCGCTCCACGCCAAATCCCGCAATTAGTGATCACACCCAAGCTGAAATTCCGTTTGGTTGTTCACTCCGCATCTGCTGCACCCCAGGTGGAACGACACTTCAGTAATCATCACAAGACGCGGCCACGTTCAATCCAGAACGATCAGCTCGTCTATATCAAGGAATACCATCTTGATTCCAAACCAGTCTGGTCTCCATCTCAAGTTCTTCGACGTTTCGGTAACTGTCTTTATTATGCCTGCAGCCAGGGCGAAGTTTACAAAAGACATTCCAGTCGAATCATTCCACGTGCTAACGCTGATTCTAGTGTAAACCAGCCCAGACCGGCGTCTCTCTTATCCATTGAACGTGCAATCAAATGGCATCAGTAATGGTGACAGTACCAGCAGCAGTACGCCACTTCGATGCAGTAATGATGGTAGCAGCAGCCACATTTGCGAATAAACTCGTGAATCAATCCGTTGGTCGACACGTGCCCGACCACCACCTCGAAGATTCTCATTCGATTGATGTCGTTCCCAGCCTTCAGTGGGAGTGATGTTAGAGGTGGTCATAGGTGGTCGCCATGAAGCAAATGCGCATTGAAGTGACCGACTGCTTTATTTTTACGTAGTGATTTAATCGACTACACACAGCCGCGTAAATTATGCGCTGTAGGCGTTTGGTCCTATGAGACCGCTATATACTACGCGCTAATCATGGAGTATATAAACTTGTCATTTTGTCACTTGTTCGTTATGTTGTATCGTCTCGCCTTGTATGACTTTGCTTTGCCCGGCTCGGCCACCGCAATAAACTTATATCCAGACCCCTGGCTCTGAAGATACAACACACCTACACGCAAATCTCGTTAGCCGATCATTTCGAAGTGCATGACCAGCTTTCGTGGCTGCCGTAGCAGCTAAAATGAAATATGCCCTACCTGCGTTTCTCTATCAAGCATTCTTTTATTTTCATATTTGTCCGCTCTTTAATCCAAAGACGAATATATTGGGTTTTAAATGAACTGGTACGTTAGAATCAGTGGATTTTGGAAAATTCATGAAACAGGAATATATGGAGGAAACTACAGGTTATCTCCGAAGTTATCTTGAAGATGCTTGTATCCATGTCATCTTTTCGATTTGCTGTCTCGAGGCAGCTCCTGTTCTTAAACGTCACAAAACTCGCTTTAGTCACTTCTGACAAATTTGTCTGCGAAATATTTTCAAAGGACAGTAGTGCAGCTGGGTGACTAGCCATCGGTACCGAAGGTCACTGGTCTGAAAAGTGCCATTTGTAATAATTATGCACTGATGCTTGTCCTGATTTGATAAACGTTCAGAACAAGAAAAATTTTTCAAAACAGGAAGATCCACGCAATGGCCTGAGCGCATTCAGGATAATACAGCACATTTAGTGTAAGCAGAAAGATTCCGGAGTGGACCGTTTCGGCGCGAGACGTTTTGTCGCTGATCTATAGTTGTTATCAATGTGAAGTCCTGTGGCACATGTTTGATTCTATATGATTGGACCGTGGTCATCTCCATCAGCTGTAATATCCGACCCAGCAAGTCATATATCTGTGAGAAGCTTTCCGTGAAACAATGTGAAACTTCTGTCAAACTGTTGAATTTCTACGAATTCGTGTTTTATTTCATGACTCCATTTTTATAACTGCGCATAGCTATTAGTTCAAGTGCAGCAATATTGTAGCCATTGTAAACTGACACCATTTGGAAGATCAGTCCACTATCACGTTTTCATTGCTGCTTATATTATGCTGAATTGTACCGGAGTACGGGAAATGAACTGTACCAAAAATGTTCGCAATGCCGCTTCAAAATGAGATTGGGACGAGTTTTCGACGGAACGCTTTTGCAATGTCTTTGACAGGAATAGCGCTGACAGATCAACGAAATTTTTGCGCAGTGAAGAGAAGGATCGATGCAAAGCAAGGATACACACAATAAGTCTAATTGTTGTCATGAAGATTGGTGAACATTCTCATGATAGTTCGGTTCGGCGGCGAGTGTGGAAGTAGCAGAACTTGTGAGGAAGGTCATAGGACGTGTCGAAGACAGCACATGGAAGCCCCTGTGTAAATTATAAACGAGTGCGCGGTGGACTGTCGCAAGGGACTCAGGGTTCACTTCAAAATCTTCGAGCACTTAAGAACGTTATAATACGAAGAAGGAATGAAGTGAACGCCACTCCATCACCTCCCATGAATCTAGAAACGCCAATTCTATCGGAATCATAAAAGGTATGAGCCGCAGCAAAATGTCTCTGAATCGTTTCTGATTGGTGACAGTGGACCTGGACCCAATCGATTGTCAATTTTTGGCACGCAGGAAAACTTGTAGATCTTTAGGGAGTCGAGAACGTGGTTGGCAGATGAAAAATTTCGACTTGCACCGCCACTGTTCTTTGAAGTTTATGCGATGCTGGCAGAAAGGTTTGGTGGTACCCATCTTGTTGTATGCGCACGTTTGCCAGACAAGCAGACAGCAACGTACAGTATGCTCTTTCAGATGTCAAAAGCAGTTGTATAGGATTTTCACCCAAATTCGATTTCTTATGACTTCGAAATTGCGCTGATGCATGCATGCAATGGAGAAAGCATTCCCAAATGTTCAACTTCATGGATGTTTCTATCATCTGAACTACAACATGAAGAAGCATTTGGGCGAACTGCATTTGCTCAATGCGTACAGCGCCGATTTCGCGCTGAAAGCGAGGATGTTAACAGCATTGGCGTTTGTGCCCATTACTGCATTGGATGAAGCAACTGCCCGGCTAGCTGAAGAACTTCCAAGCGATCTACAACCGTTTCATGCGTGGCTCGAAGGCAGTAACGTCGATCGCATGAATTATAGTGGAAATGCGATACGTCAGCCACTGTTTACACCAGAAATGTGGTCACTTTGCCGTATGGTGATCAACAGCGATAACCATACGAACAACTATGCGGAAACAGCTCATCGACGAATTCAGACCGAGTTGGGAATGTCAGACACCAGTATGGAAGCTAATTGACGGACTCCGTAAAGTGCACAAGGGCCCCAAAATATACTGCCACCAACTTCCTGCCGGTCATCAGTTACCAATAAAGTTGAAGAAATATCGGGATGCGAACAAAACAATCAAATCCGTTATTAATGACTATCGTAGTAAAGATATACTCGCTTACCTTTGTGTGTTAGCACGTAATTACGAAATAATGCAGTGATGTTATATGTTGCATATAAATTTTGATATAAATAAAGTTGCTTTGTACATTAGCTCGTTGTTCTTCTATGAAAAGTTGATTTTAAAGTTTAAACAAAAATTTTAGTTTAAGTTAATAATTGGGTAATTTCGCATCTGATTTGACAGAGCTTTGTTTTTGGAGAGATATTAATACATAAATAATGAACTTTTGATGATGAACGAAATCTTAGAATCTTCGAAATTCACTAGTTTGACAGAAGTTTCACATTGTGCTCACGGAAAACTGCTCATAGTAAC